GAGCTCCTTTGCTATGGGGCCTGACGGCAGTGGGAACATTTGCACAGACAATAATTTGACAGTGGATTACCTGAAGTCACTGTATGGGTGAATGATCCAAAAGCCTGCAGATTTGACCCGTTCTTGCTCGCGCTCCACTGCCTTCTCGCTCCCGAACATTCGAAGCGAGAACTTGTTGACTCCCGGTTGAAGCATCGCTCCAAACTGCCTGTGCATAAAGCTCGCCTGGAATAACCTCTCATCGTCCGGCAGGATCTGATCGATACCCTCCAACTTTACGAAAGTCGACTGTTCTTCAGAGGGCGCCTGCTGTGCCCCGTCGCCGCGACCGCCCTGCGCGCCCTGGCTCTCCCCGGGTCCGGTGTGCTCCGAGGGACCTTCATCCTCGGGGCTAGCATCCCCGATGAGGCGCCTCTGCTCCGCCAGATCCGCGTCTGAAGCATGTCGGCTGGTGATGGAAGAGAGGCTGCCCCTGAACCTCCGGCAGTCCCCGTTCACGTTGGTTCTGAAGGGTCTCCCCACATCGGTCTCCGCGTCTCCGCTCTTGCCCTCGCTGACACCTTTAGAGCTCCCCGTGGAGGGAAGATGCTTCATTTTGACACTTTTCCTCCGAGTGTCCTTGTCGCTGTCTTCACCGTCTCGAGTCATAGCCCCCTTGTATCCAAACTGATGTGGCAAGCTATAGAGTCGTTTGCGCATGGAAGGATGCATTGTGATCGACCACCTTAACAGAAACAATGACAGTCGGTATCATCTGAGAAGAGACGGAGGCAGGAAAATAGGTCGTAAAAAATATGAATGCACATATATGCATCCCACTGCATCTGTAATACTAGACACTGATCCCGAGAGCGCAGAATCAAAGCGCGCACACTGGATGCGGGAAGACGGACGGACGTGTCTGAACGGGAAACAATTTGACGCGCGTCTCAATGACAAATCATAGCACCCTCCTTTTCAAACTACTCTTGAAACAGCACTTACGAAGCCCCCGGCCATTGACACATCAGTAATCCAATGTGCAAAAGATGTCCAGTTCAGATGTGGTAACGTGCATGGGGATGGATGATCTATTACGTTGCCATAGAAGCGCAGACAGCAAATAAGCACGCACCACCGAAACAGACTGTTAAGGGTGTTGCAAAAAAAAAAAAAAAAAAAAAACCACACACACACACACGCACACAAACATGGCATTGCCTGTCTTTAGCAAATGATTTGCTGATGTGTATTTTCGCCAAACAATAACACAAAAAATTGTGACTGGCAACAGTAACGTTTTACGTCATTCATGAAAGCTTATGGAAAATAATCAGGTATTGTTCCATGCTTAAATTAACTTTAGTGTTAATTTAATAATCTCTCTTTAGCTCACCATAAACATTTTTAATTTTTAATTGAATAATAAAAAAATGATCCATGCACTGATGCACCACGTAATTATTTTTCATCAATCAAATATCTGCCATTCTGCCTCTTGCAACATCTCTGAGTCTGATGACGTGTTTACTGCCACGAGAGCGGGACAATCAGTCATTCATTTAAGATCAACCAATAGCAAACCACAACCATCCAATCAATTTTCGACGGGAACGATTCATGCTACCCATCGAGATTTGCTACTTACCGGTTATGCGCATGTGCAGACTCACAGTTTTGTTTTTTGTTTTTGTTTTTTCCTGTTATAATTTCCCTTTAAAAAATACTACTACCATATGAATATTTGTACGGTAAAAGAATAACTGAAAGTTTCAGTTACTATGAGGAAAGGTGTACCTACTTTGACAAGTCAAAGATGAATATTTTATGATAATTTTTACTCTTCACACCGTTTTAAAAATAAAAACAGTAGTCTATACAGTAGCTACTCATAGCTTAGAATTGTATTATAATTGTATTTCATACGACTTTAATCGGCATTCTGTGATCAATTCGCGGTACGGTAGCATTTTTCGACAAGGCAGCAAAAATCGACAGAACACCGGAATACAATTTTGGGTTGAACGACAAACCTGAAACGATTGCAAAATTACTAACATAAATTCCTCTGAAGGTCACTGAATAATTCGCACACTGCTTATTTATTATTCATATTCCGGTAGGCTTCTTCGTTTATTAGAGTTTTATGAAGAAGATGCGATGAGACACTATTGCGCTCATCAGGTTAGGCCAGCATATTTCTGTCAAATCGATTAATCGCATTGAACATACTAGTTTTAGTTGTGACACACACATTTATTATATAAACAAAACTTTTATGTAAAATGCGATTATTCGCGATTAATCGTGATTAATCATTTTGTACAGCAGTAATATGTAGCCAAGAAAATGAACCAAAACATTGACAGCTTTCAGGTTTGGTTTATTCAGGTGTAGCTGGTGGGCAAGTAAAGTAAAGCTCCCTGAATAGCTCAGCTAAGAGGACAACAGCTATGATATTCTTTGATGGGTCTTGTTTAGATGTGTATGACACATCAGTGTAATGAGTAAACAAAGAGGAGCATAATAAGGGCATCACAGCCACAACATGTAACAGTCAATAGCCTACATATTATTCTTATTCTTATGAGTAATACAATTATCTGATCTGACATATTCAAGCCATTGATTATGTTAAATATATCCATGTTAGGGCATGTTTCATGTTCATAAACGACAGCAGAAAGCCCTTGTTTCGAAACAGCTGTGCGTCAGCCAATGTCCTTGCTTTTACAGTCCGGATACAACACAACATGTCAGATGGTGAAATCAGGGCACCAAGTGATATGATGAAACTAGATACTGAGAGAATAATGGCACTATAATCTGTAAGCGCCCGGGCAAAGACAGCTTTCTGCCTTTTGAGCAGAAAATGCATTGTGACAAACACTGCCTTTCCAGGAATCATCCATCCCTATGGCTAAAGTGGAGAAACGGCTGTGAGATTATGTGATTTGTGTGTGTGTGTATCATATGGTACTCAGTCAGCTAATTTCCCTGTATATATTTATAATATATAGTTCACATTTATTAGCTAGTTAATGAGATTTTAAAGTGCCTCTTATTTCAGTGTTGTGATTATTGGTTTAACTTAAAGTAAGTTACCTGCACTGTAAAAATGAATGAGCTTTATCTAATCAAATCAATTGTGTCAACAGATTACAAGCAATAATATTAATTCAATTTAACACATTCGAATTGAGTAATAATTAACCAGTTAAAATGAGTAAAACTTTAAAAAAAAAAAAATTAATCTTTGATGTCAGTCTGTTATTCAGATATTTTTGTTGAATTTTTCGGTGTAAACTTTAAATGGTTAACTTTTAAGGAATATAATTTGATTAACTATTACTCAATTCTAATTTGTTCAATTTATTTAATAATTTTACTTGTAATCTGTTGCTACAATTTTATTGATTAGAAAAAGCACATTCATTTTTACTGTGTGGTTGCCTTAAAATTTTTATTACACATATGTGTTAATACAATGTAGATTGATTTTAATCAACAGAAACACAAAATATGATGTTATCGGACCACATTATCTCAGTTGTGATGACAAATAGTGAAAATATTTTTTAGTAATGTGCTAAATAAAACATATTTACCCCATGCAGAGACACCTGGTTTGAATTGAAAAGTTAATAATGTAAATGGTATCTCCAAATACAGTTGCAGAACTCATTGTTGTTGAAGCTTTTGGAGGTTTCAGCGTTGGTCAGCAATGCCCCCCTCTGGTGCACAGACATATTTGTTTTAGGACCGCAGGCATAACAGTAACTAGGATGATTAAAAAATTAATTCAATAAATACAAAATCCTGAAATATGCAGTATAAACACCCACACAAATATCATGTCAATACTGGAGCAGATGGTTTCAAACAATGCCGTATTCTCCACTTATATTTTGAGCTTGCACTCTAAAAACTATATATTCTGAACAGTGATTTTTTTTATATTGCAAGTAAATTTTATATATGATTACAAAAAAGGGGAAGCAACAATTTGAAATTTTGAAATAGCAAAACTGAAATAGTATTTTCTTGTAAATCTTTGTTTTATTTACAACTTTTTTAGCATATACCATGGGGTTCTTGACTCAAATTTAAAGAAACGCTCAAATTTAACGTTCTAGGACAAATGTCTTATGACTACATAATACTTTAATGGTAAAAGGGTTATTTTTTTTTATAGTGATAAAGTATGTTTATGAGTTTCTTAATTTGTACAAATGTTATTTAAAATGAAAAGTGAATTAAATAACCTTTTCTGGTAACACTTCACATGAAGGGGTGTGCATAAGACTGACATGACACCTTCATAACCATGACATTACATATATCTTGAATATGAAATAGGGTTTATGCATGTTTATGACAACTTAAGTGACTTTCGCTCTATAATGACATTTTGAAAGCAAATATGACATTGTTTGAGATGTCTTTGTTATGACACCTAGACATAAACCAATACACCATAACCTGTCAGGATCTTTGTCATGACAACTTGACATAAAATTAAGACAACTTTGACATTGGCTGTCATGAGGCATTATAACAGTGTCATGAATATTTTTCATGACTTCAACTACAGTGGTACTAATTGAATTTGTCATTAAAAAGTTATAATGGCTTCATGATTGACAGCCAATGTCAAGATCAACCACCTGACAGTTTAATGTAATGTTAACCAATAAAGCTAGGTGGTTTCTTAAGTTTGATAATTAATCTGCTATGTCATTGTTGTGTTGTCTTAGTATGTCACGTTGTCATGATAAAGACCCTGACAGGTTATGATGTATTGGTTTATGTCAAGGTGTCATAACAAAGACATCTCAAACAATGTCATATTTGCATTCAAAATGTCATAACTGAGCGAATGACACTTAATGACAGTTGTCACAAACATGCATAAATGTTACCCCTTTTCTTCAAATGTCATTGTTTGCAGTTTATCATGTACTTTACATAAACCCGTGTTAAAGTAAACAAGGCATCATGTTATAAAAGAGGACAACGCATTTGACTTTGGATATTTTAATTGTTAAAAATGACTGTATATGCCTTGGTCGATTGATAGAATATTAATTTCTCTTCACATTCTGAATTAGTAGACCTTTTATATGCGTAAGGACTCATGCATCATGTGGATTGTTTCTCATGGTCTAAACAGAGCACTTGCTAACTTATAATATTAAAGCTTAATTATACACAACCAAAAGCTAAAAAGTGTGTTCTACTGTAAAGATATTGCATAGAATAAAAGCCATGCTGTATACTATGCATACATAAAAAGCCATCAAAGAAGATAAGGTACATGAGTATAAAATGAAGTCACTGGTTTGCGAGAATATTAGTTGAAGAGATAAGTGCATCAGTATGAAGAACATTCAGATATCTATAGATATTTCAAGTGATTTCATACATCAATGTATAATACATGTACAAATTAAACATTGCAGGAGACTTTGCAAAGCCCTTGATTCATACGATTGATTGATAGAATCGTATGCCACCATACCGTAACATGATAATCTGTACAAAAACGGTCATACCAGAATCATGGTGGCATATTTGCGATAAGATAAAGGCTTGCTTGAACAGAAGTCATTCATAAATACACAAACGGAGAGAAAAAAAATCAATCAGCCTGTATCAAACAGTAGAATATCTTGCATGCAATTATTATTTTTGTACTTTTGCCTGACATGGAAAAAAAGTCGACTCGAATGAAAGAGATTCTAAAGAAAAACGCAACACAATCATGCAAGGAAATGTTCAGAATCAGGTTCCGTTCGGGTTCACTCGTCCTCCTCACGCCAGATTTATAAGGCATGCCTCGGCAGCTCATTCATTTCAGTCTTCCCTTTAACTCCTTCCACCTTTTATTTGTTTACCAATCCGCTGAACCGTTAATGAGTAATGTTCATATGGTCATGATGTGAATGTCTTTATCTGTGAACAAGAAACAGAAGTGAAAAAGTTTGGTTAATAGTGTGGGGTTTTCAGAAGAGTTACTGTCACGGGTGGTTGCAGGAGGGCGGACGAAGATGAAGAATAAAGTTCCAATATGAAGTTTTAATGACGATAATAGAAATAATACTAAGACAGGCAGGCAGGGCAACACACATTTAATGTAACTGTGATGGTAGTCATAGAAAGAAATTATATTGTGACAATAACAGTAGTCATAGAAACAAAGGAGTGGTGGGAGAATCAAACAAAAGAACACATGCTGTGAATGAAAGCAAACTAAAAGGCCATGATAAGTAAAGCCGGGTTCACACTGTGCGATTTTGGCCACATCTTGTCGTCTGAGACAAATTTTTGCAAATCTTAAAAGATTCCTCTGATCCAAGGCTAAAATCTGAAGTCTTTGATCATCAAATTGTAGCTTTACAAATTGCCTCTGTCTAGATCCTTGACTTTCATTACATAGCTCTTTGGAATACTTGATTCTGATTGGTCAGTCGTGGCATTCGGTGTATATATATATATATATACTAGTGCTGTCAAATCAATTAATCGTGATTAATCACATCTAACATAAAAGTTTTTGTTTATATATATATATATATATATATATATATATATATATATATAATATATAATATATATATATATATATATATGAAAATGAAGCGAACATTTTTTTTTACCACTATTATAACTACAGATTATAACATTGTTTAAAATTCTAGTGATATGAAAATTCTCAGTGTAACTGAATACTGACCTTGTAATGATCAAATCAATTTGTATTTCTCTGACGTAGGTTTTTATCTTTGTGGTTGTTGGTGGAATTAGTTTTCCTTGAAGGTGAGATCATAAAGATGAGTCAGTGTGAGTGCCATATGACAATCCAAAATGAAGTTACACCATTATAAAATTACATTTCCTTCATTCAATGTTTCTTTAAACACTTCACATTCTGTATAAATCACACATATGCTGTCATCACTTATCCAGGACAGTTGCATCATACCAATTCTTATTTAAATGTAAATCCGATACTTACATTGGCCCTGCTGGTTCGTCATCTGAATGGGAAGCAAAACAAAGACAATTTTAGTTCGAGGCAGCAATGCTTCCAGCTGGCACAGTATTCACATTATTGAACGAATTCCATAAACCGACTGAATTAGCCATAAACAACAACACAATGCTATATTGTCTTTCAATATTTCAGTTATTGTTGCGCAGTAGAATTTCACAGAACAAAACTTCACTCCTTCAGCACTGGTGTGAGTAGTTAACTGGCTCGCAGTACAAGAACAGAGAAGAAATACAAGCATGCAAACAAACCTATACTTCACTACTTCCATATCCCTTAAATAGCTTTAAAATGAATAAAACTTGATGTTACATTCATGCATCATATTTCTTTAATTTATGTATTATATATTAAATTATAATATATATATTTATATATATATATATATAGCTTTTCTAAAAGATGATAATTGAAAGGTGAAAATGAAGTAAAATCTCATGCACATGTCAACATGAATACATTTGAAGAGACTCCAGTGAAGAGGATGTACAGATAAATGAAGGTCATTTGAAGGTTAAACAGCAATAGACATCATTCTCATAATGAAGGCAACAAAAAACCCCATTTCAGAATAATCCAAACAAGACATATATACAAACCAAAGCATAGGACAAGATAGAATATGTGCAATGCTGCTATAGGTTCACTCAAGCTGCATGCAGGTCTGACACTTACCAGTGTTTAAGGTTGAGCCATTCAGAGAGAAAGAAATGAGTTAACGTTGTAAATTCTTAATGACAGGTACGTCTTCTCATATTAAACTCCAAAAGTGTGATTCAATTGCTTAATTAATGCTGTAGTGATTCACAAATGACTAGAACACTTGCACAAAACATGCAAATAAACCAAATAAGGCTGAAATTAAATACTGAATTTATACACCTTATATTGTATTTGTACATATATGCCCGCCCACATCCACGAACTATATACAATTTTAAACACTTTAAAAAAAAAACGCATAAATTGGTTGTTTCTGGGTTATTTGGCGCTGAAATCAATACCGAGGGTAACCACTAGGTGGCGATGCTGGACAGGCGAAATCCCAGTTATCGTCACTCACTATTATCTGAAGCTGTCCAGTTCGTTTGAAAATATCGACTGATACTCATTCAATGTACGAAATAACGAATATAATTCCACCCGAAAGCTAAATAATTTGCTTTAAGCAGGCTTTAAACGTAAAAATAAGTCGTTTTATATAAAACCCGTCTAAAGTGAATTTCCTGGCTTGCAGCAATACTTGACACGGTTTTGTTTTCCCACTCAATGCATAGGTGAGGAGCACGAGTAGTAAAGTGGCGTGGGACTACACCTCCACGCGCATCAATAATTCACAACCCACTACCTCCGATTCACCTCAGAGTCATATTCCTCTTGAATATCAGATTAGTGTCCAGATGACCTAACACCGGTGCCCTACAGGAAAAGAATGACGAGTATGTATGTGTGTGTTTGCTGGTCTGAATGGCATCAGACTGAATTATTAAGAGTCAAGGTCAGGATCAAATAACAAAGTGAGTTAAAGGTCTTGTGACGCAGTGAGAGAAAACTAGGTAAGAATTGTATAAGATGTAAATAATGCTTATCTTCCCAATAAATTAACTTAATTTGTAAATAAACATTACCTAGACTATATGCTACTGTTCAGTTTGGGGTTGGTGCGATGTTTCAATGTTTTTTAAGTTTATGTCCAGTGGCATCCTTTTTTACTTGATATAATACAGAAATGTGACAATATTTCTTAGTCAATAACTACAGTATTTACAATGTAATGTCCTAGTAAGAAATTGTTTTCTATATATATATATGGAAATATATATAAATTCATTGTTTTCTATATATATATGAATATACATTTTGAAACATTGTACCAACCCCAAAGTATATAACAGTAGTCTAGGTAATATTTATTTGCTAATTATATTTATTTATTAGGAAGATAAGCATCCTTTACAATACAACTTATTTTCTAACCTAGTTTTATCTCACTGTGTCACAAGACCTTTAACTCACTTTGTTATTTGATCCTGACCTGGACTCTTAATAATTCAGTCTGATGCCATTCAGACCAAACACACACATACATACTTGTCATTCTTTTCCTGTATGTTTTGTAGCCTTAAAAAGTATTTGAACACTTAAAATCACACTTAAAAATGGAAAAATTTCACTAATTTAGATATAAAATACCAAGCCAAGTGGCATCTGCAAACAAATTCTGCTTTATCGTTTTTTAAAAAAAAATAACTTTTCAAAGCATTTTTGTGGATAGAAAATTTCCAAATCCCTTTTGTCGTAATTTTAACCAACATATCTTGATTTGATGTTTTGTTCATTCATGTATTGATCTTAGGTGTGCAAATAATTTTTTGGCACGCTGTAGATCAATGCATTGGCACTACAGTATATTAGGTAAACTGTTTATATCAGCCAAGCATCAGTAGTTCATATTGAGACAGTAACCCACCCTTTTAAACTCACCGTCAGGCATATCATCGGGCTTCTTGCGCTTCTCGTAGATGACGATGATCAGCACCAGGATGATGATCTCAGCGAGGACGCCCAGGAGGGGCCACAGGGGGCCAGGTAGCTCCTGACCCGCAGGACTGATTTCATGGAGGAGGAGCCGATGGTGTTGGTCGCGTTGCACTCGTACTCTCCGGGGTCAGACGTGAGGTCGAGGTTAATGATGGACAGCTCAGTGTAGCCATCCCTGCTGCTGATGAAGAAGCGGCGGGAGGAGTTGTCGATATCCTGAGTGATTGATGGAGAGGGAGGAACAGTGACAGGTGAGGAGAGGTGAAAGACGGGGGAAGGATTCGCTCAAAAGTATTTCTGATTGAAAAAAGACTTTTCAGCAAATGATGGAGGCTTAAAGATAAAGTAACAGAAACTACATTTAAAGGGATAGTTCATACAATTAAGCCTACTGTATCATATTCAAATTTCTAAGGCCTCAAGGCCTTTTGCTGTAAAACTTCACTGATTTTTATAAAGTAAATTTATAGAAAAATCATGTTGAGTATCAAATATGACACATCAGGCTTTTGTTTTATTTGTAATAAATTCTCTCAATCATCATTATATTGGAGTCGCCCCCCCCAAAAATGACGGAGATTTGATCATAAAACTAAGCAATTAAATATCTAGTATAGGACATATACTCTCACTCTTGTGTCAAAATGACCATACCATATTGGCTCCACTATCGAGTTTACGCCAGGTCCACAGGGGATAAGGATAACCCACAGATTTGCAGTAGAGGACGGCTGTCTCACCCTCATTCTTATTCTCACTGCGCTTGTGCCCCGTGATGTCTGGTGCAGCTATGAGAGGAGAGCAGAAGGACAGTGAGTCCTTCAGTATCACAAAAGATTTCATTGCAGAAACCTTAAGCATTGTGTGGATGTTTATTCTTGTGCCATTTGCAATGACATTTTGTGTGGTAAATATAGCATAGAGCACATGTTAAATCTGGAGGGTCACTGTCCTGCAGAGTTCAGCTTCAACAACCCTAATTAAACACACCTGAATCAGCGAATCAAGGTCTTATACTAGAACCTTCCTGGTTGGAGTGTTGAGGCAAGTTTGAGCTAAACTCTTCAGGACAGTGGCCCTTCGGAGCAGGATTGGAGCTGGCTTAAAGCTAGTGGCGGATCAGGAAATGTTAAGAAAATACTCCCTGATTGCCCAAACAAATGGTAATCAACCAAGATCTTACGGCCACAGCAATTTCATATGCTGCCACACAAGTGGATCTGGATTTAAGGTTCAGGTTAGTAGAATAAGTTGACATGAGCAGGGATGCATGAAATATCGGCCACCACATCGGTTCATTTTTAATGTTATCATTATTGGCCTGAAAGAAAATTTGGCCAATGTATTAAAGCCGAATCGCAGATAATAATTTTTTCCGTTAAAAGGGTAATTCCATCGGGGGAGACATGAATATATATTGAAATTGGGTCATATATGTAGTAGATTAGTATCATAAATTTCTAATTTGGGTCCTTCTTGGCCGATAAAAGGAAGAAAATGTCATTTTAGTGCTTGTGGATTGTAGACAATAATCCCCATAGTGCATTGCAATGCTCAGCTCCGCAGGCCACTCCCACTCTAGAGTTGAGCTCCACTCTACCGCCTGGAAATCATTTCACACAATGAAATCAGATAATGTGCACTAATATAATATGACGACGTAAGAGCGTCAAGGCGGCGCCCGCGCCATCAGCTAATAATTGAGATAATACACTACCATTTAAAAGATTGCTTGGTGTCATCAAGACATTTTTTGAAAGAAATGAGTACTTTAAATTACATTTTAAAATATATTTAAATAGAAAACAATATTAGTGTTTTACTTTATTTTTGATTTAATAAATGCAGCCTCGGTGAGCATAAAAGAATGTCAAACACAATAATAATAATAAAAAAAAAAAACGTACTGACCACAAACTTTTGAACGATATTTGCTCTTGTCACTGATATATTAAATCTAATGTGATAATATTTCCAAGGACACTTGTGTTTTACAAATAAAAAAATATATACACTGAATATATGGGGCAATAATAAGATGATTAATACGGATGAATCACTGAAAGTATTGAAGCATTAGCATCAGAAGCTGGCTATATTATTCATAATGTGCCAAGTACCCCCGCAAACCATCTACATGTAAATCATCCCCACATCTTGTGATTGAAAAGTCAAACGATGAATCATGACCGACAGGAGATTTTTTTTTAAAGGTTGATTCAGTCTAAATGACACCAAATACCTCAGTTAAGAGACACAGAGAGAGAGAAAAGAGTGACAGATTTACATCCCCACCCCCTCAAGACATGCAACCACCATCTGGTGCCTGTGAGCTGACCGCAGGATAACCAGAGAGAGGTGACCAGGCCACGCTTAAACCGCATGGCACTTTACCAGCTGCTGATCTCTAACACACAAACCAAACACACAAGCCTGTCAGATTTAAAGGCCATTATTAAACACATGATCACAAGGAGATCTGGGCTGGCTGGCATTTTGCTTTACACCCATTGCTGATTTGAGGCCTTAGAAATGACCCAGTTATAACTAAACAAAATGCTTTGTATATTACGATGGGCCAAACATGAAATATTTATATAAAATCTGAATATATAAACCCTGAATATAAATGTACATTTATATATTCAGGATTTATAAATACAAGCCTTTCAAGTCAAGTGGCGTGTTATCTACAGTATATGCAATTTTGAGCTATCCGCGTGTATGTGTGTAAGTCTACGCCATTAAATGTCCGAGTGATTCCGCGCGTATGTACACGCCGTTAAATGTCCGAGCGAAACAAAGCAAAATGTAGATCTACATCTGGGGAGCGGGTTGTTTTTTTTTTTTCATGAATGCAATTTTTTTTACTCATAAATGCTATTAACCACAGTGACGGGTGGGTTTAGGGACAGGGTTGGGTTAGGTCATGTATTTAAACAGTAATGTAATGTTAAGTCAACGGCGTTCATAAACACACTGAAAAGCGATTATGCATGTTGATAGCACGCCAAAAATGTAAATATGAATTGGCCTGTCATACATACGCCATTTCAAGAGATCTGCTCATTTCAAAAGTCTGCTCAGACATATACCCACAGGATTATATATTTGTATCTATAAATCCTACTGAGAAATTCGGCATAAATTATAATGAATGCTGGTGGAACCTTCCATTTCCAGGTCTAGCTGGTGGATCAGCAAGTCATGTAGTTCCTAAATATAAATTCAGATTATATGTAATTGTTTCCTATTTGGCCCTTTATAATATACACAGATGAGCAAAAACATCATGACCACCTGCCTAATATGCCATTGGTCCTCCACATGCTGCCAAAACAGTGCCGACCAGCTGAAGAATGGACTCTATAAGACCCCTGAAGGTGTCCTGTGGTTTCTGATGTCAGCAGCAGATATTGCTAATTATATATTCAAATAATACTAATTATTAAGATTGCAAACAATGCATTCACATTCACACTGCCTAGTGAGCAAAAACCTGGATGTCTTTCCCTCTCAACTAACCAAGCACACAATCATGCTGTCATGGCCTGTGTTAGTGTGACTCAGCATGTGTTGTGTGGAGGAGATTCAAAATGTTGACAAACCATCTGAAAATCAAACTCGCTGTGATACTAGAAAGACACCACAGACCATTCAATTTCTATATTTTTGTGACATTTTGAGAAATGTGGGGTATTGTGAGGGCATCTTACCTTTTACCTCAATGGTGGCATTAGCTTGGGGGACCGAATCAAATGTGTACACGCACATATACTCGCCCGCATCATCTGTCCTTGGTTTATTAATTCTGTGTAAAAGACAAAACACTTTTCACTTATAAAAGGTACTGTTTTAGTCCCATTCAAATAGAATGGTAGGCCTATTCAGTACTTTGGAGTAATAAATAAGCAGTCAGAAAAATAACACACCCACATGTAGAGAGAACACAAATGCAGATTAACTGTTAGCCGTACTAGTGTGCCGATATGGTTAGTCTGATTAGATTAGGAGTCAGGGAGAGAGATTAGCAACACGTGTTGGTAGAGAGAAAGGCCTCGCTCAGGATTTAGACCATTGCAGAGCAGTGCAGCATCAACAGACAGTGAGCCAAGGCTTGAGAGTCACTGAGATAAAGCTTTTACAAAACAAACGCCAACTCGGGTAATGCAAATGACCACGTGTTTAACACCTAGAAGCCTATATTGCTATATTTTGATCTGATAGTGGCATTGAATGATATTACAGTCAAATGTTTCTGTGCTAAATGAACTGCATTGATTAAATAATCTATTATTTAATATTGTATATTTTTCAGTTTATCTAGTTTTAAATTAATAATTAAAAAAAAGGTTTCAAAACCTCTATTTTAAAATTCTGAAATCTTCAGAGGCACATAGAGTATAAATAACTTGTCTGTTGAGTTACAAATTGTCAATACAAAATACACATTTATAAATATATTTATGGTATTACTAGCAGGGCTGCAACTAATAGATTAATGTATGCTATACATTGTGTAAAATATCACATGCCTGATGTGGGAAAATGGTCACATGAAAAAAAAAAATTACAATATACAATAATATTGCATGAATAAAATTAAATGTATTATTATATTATTTTTATACGCATAATTAAACATGTAGCACCATTTGATTTAGCTCAAACTCAAAAAAATATTTTATTTGGCATTAAAATAGTTAGCATCCATATAAAACTATTTGGTAAAAATTATAATCCCACTTTTGGTCAAAATATGCCAATATGCACACAGTGTGTGTATAGATGTGTATATATGAAGAGTTCAGATGCAAAAGCCTCTAAGTGCCATTTGAAATTTTCTTCTAAAATGATATATAAGTATCATTTAAGTTCAGTAATTTCACTTAAATGGCAAATGAAGATTACCTATTAATTGTCATTTAAGTGAAATTACTGAACTTAAATATACAAGCTCAAAATTCAAAATATTAACAAAAACTATAATAGTATATTAATGACATTAATTGAATGTATTATTATTTGATACATTTCATATCATAATGTTTCAGTGCTCACTAATGTCCAATAAC